CATTTTACAAGCCCAAGCCCATTCGAACGAAGACCAAGAAACCCAAAATTTCAACTCAGGCCCAGTATTAGGGGAGTATGGGCCTGGGCATCCAGGCCCACAAGGTCTTCTTGAAGATGTAGTGCCATTGATGATTAGAAAACCGTTGGTCAATGTTGCTTTATCCAATTCTACGTATTATTCTTTAGGATTTGATACAAATACATAGAACATGTTTAGTGCATATTATATGATAAAATATATAATCGAAAAGATTTTAATTTTTTAATATTATGTAGTATTGTCCAATTTACCTTAGCAAACTTATCAAAAAAATCCTCAGTAGTTATCTATATATCCAATTATTTGAATGTAATAAGCCCAAGTGATTCTCCTAGATTGAGAAATGACGGGTTTTAATATGTTATAATAAGTTTTTTTATTTCCAAGTATGGACAAATTTCCTTTTCTTCTTATAGTCTTGTTGCATTCATTTACCGTATCGATTTCTTAACGAAATTTTATTGAAACTTCGTACTCGGGCAATAATAAGTTAATCGTAATTCTGTAAGGACCAAAATTAATGTTTGATATTCAAGAAAGACAAAGGCAGTTCAATATTTACTTAGTGAATTCAAGTAAAGTTTATACAACCCTAGCTCGATTACATGTATAGTAGACGAATTTACAGCAACATTATTAGCACTTGTTTGGTGAGGATTAAAAACATGATTTTATTATATTTTGATAAAAGTTAATGAAATATATAGTTAAAAAGTTGTGGATCCCATTAAATATGTTATTAAAAAATTAAAATCAATTGTTTCTTTTTACTTAGATTAAACTCTAGATTTAATCCATATCAAACATTGGCTTAATATATTTATGGCTTAACAGCACAAAACGTCTATACGTTTGACATGTAGTGTGCAAAACGTACATACGTTTCAATTTTTGGCATTTTCACCCATATTTCAACGTTTCATTGCGGAAAACGTCATTTTCACCTATTTTTAACGCAAAATGACCAATATACCCTCCTATATAAATAAAACAAAAATGAAAAATAAAGAATAAATTGCAATCTTATTCCTAAACTTTTTAAAAAATGCAAATGAGTCCAAAATTTATGAAAATATTAAAAATAACAAAAAAAACTGTTTCTCTCTTCTGAATAATTTTTAAAGGGTAAAAGGTTAAATTTTTATTTTCATATACATTAAAATTATAATAAATAAATAAATAATCAGAAAAATTAAAAAGACCAAAACAACCAACTCCCCACACCCAAGTCCATCTTCTTCGACAACCAACTAAGCCCACCTCCCCCCCCCCGCCGCCCAAATCAGAACCAGAAAATTCCTTGTCTGTTACCATCGATCGCGTTAAATATGAT